GTCTTTTGAAGTTTCCTTTCCCTCTCTAATCAGTCCCATTAGAACAAGTGGATCTGAGCTTCAAAGGTAGCGGGGCTTGTCAAAGAAGAAATCTGCCCGCTCCTCAAACCAAGAATGGCAGGTTTGTGTCCCAGGGTGGGATCTCCCACATGAGGCCATGGCATCAACATGGTGGGCGTGATTGTACAGCAAGTGCTGCACTCAGGTCTCTTTGAAGGGCTTATGCACGCTCCCTAATTATTGATCCTGTCCACTTGACAGGACTTTCAAAGAGTTGAAAAGGTGCTCAGTGGAGCATACTTCTTAGCTTGATCCCTCACCTGTAAAGTCTACATGAATCCACAGATCTGTTGCATTTGAACTGTTTTCTCTAGTTCTTTAGCTGAATATATATAAATTAAAGTAACTGGAATATTTTCATATTAAAAGCCTGTACAATTTTGTTATTTTTGTTAGATTGTTCCTACAAACCTTTTCCCAGAACTTCAGTGCATTAAGGATATAGGTGAGATATAATGTTTAGTTTGTTCACCTCATTAGATAGCATTATTAATAATGACATTTATTTCTCTGAGGAAACCAGGTCAGGTAAATTTCAGTATTTTTGCAAACCAAATTCATTGACTTTGCAACCTATAATTTCTAAAAATTTGCCAAAAGAAAAAAGCCAGAAAAAAAGCCTGAATACAGCATGTTCCTTCACTTCATTTTCAACACCAGTTTTATACTTCTGTAATTTGAAAATGAATATCACTTATATGGGGACTGGTGCTCTTCAACATCTTCGTCAATGACATAGATGATGGCATCGAGTGCACCCTCAGCAAATTCGCGGATGACACCAAGTTGAGCAGTGCGGTCGACACGCTGGAAGGAAAAGAAGCCATCCAGAGGGACCTGGACAGGCTGGGGAAGTGGGGAAGGTCAACTGTGTTAGGGCTGCATCAAAAAAGGGGTGGCCAGCAGGGAGTGGGAGGTGATTGTCCCTCTCTCTTGTGAGGCCCCATCTGGAATACTGTATCCAGTACTGCTCCAGTACAGGAAGGATATGGAGCTCTTGGAGCGGGTCCAGAGGAGGGCCACTACGATGATCAGAGGGCTGGAGCACCTCTCCTATGAAGAAAGGTTGAGGGAACTGTGCTTGTTTAGCTTGGAGAAGAGAAGGCCCTGGGGGAAACCTCATTGTGGCCTTCCAGTACTTGATGGAGGGGAACAGGAGGGGGAACGACTGTTTACATGGGTGGGTAGGACAAGGGGGAATGCTTTTAAACTGAGACAGTGGAGGTTTAGGTTGTATATTAGAAGGAAGTTCTTCACACAGAAGGTGGTGACGCACTGGAATAAGTTGCCTAGAGAGGGTGTGGATGCCCCATCCCTGGAGGCATTCAAGGCCAGGCTGGATGTGGTTCTGGGCAGCCTGGTCTAGTGGTTGGCAACACTGCACATAGCTGGGGGGTTGAAACTAGATGATCATTGTGGTCCTTTTCAATCCAGCCCATTCTGGATTCAATGCTTCAATGCTTCAATGATTCAACAAAAATATCTATTCATTACACTTTTCTTTTGATATATTAATGAATTTGTGTATCTCTGTACAACTTTCCCAGGTCATGACTCTACTTTCAGTATTTGCAACTGAATTTCCATCATGCTTGAGCAACTATTTGTGAGTGTTGCAATCCTTTTGCTGTCACAGTCATAAGTTTGAGAATCATCTCTAAGTATGACTTACTGTCATGGCCTTATTTTCATGGAATATTTAGAGACTAGCTATGCTAATCCAGGAGGATTTTCAGAATACGAAGCACATCATGAGTAGTGCCTGTAGACATGCTCACAGATGTTCCTCTAGTCTTCAAGAAAATATTGGTCAAACACCAGCAGTAGAATCAAAGAAAATCCCAAGTTGGAAGGGGTCCACAAGGATCATCGAGTCCAGTTCCTGGCTTCACCAAAAAATAAGACTGAGATCATTGTCCAGATGCTTCTTGAGCTCTGACAGCTCAGTGCTCTGATCCCTGCCCTGGGGGGCCTGTTCCCGACCACCCTCAAAGAAGAACCTTTTCCCAATTTCCAACCTGATATCAGGTTAGAAGCTGACCTTGTTCTTGTTAAAGCTATTACTTGAAGTATCATGACATTCAGTTAAAGGTCAGTTCAGGCAGAATGGGTGAACTCTATAAATCTTGAAGTCAGAAAAATGAAAGGATAGAATGAATCTCAAGAGGTCAGCTTCCAACCCACCTCTTCACAAAGGCGAGACAAGAAACCTTGGACTAATTCTGGCAGACATCAGCATCGTTGATTACAATGAAGGGAATTCAACGCTATTCTTATGTTTGCTATTTTAATGTTTGAGAACTCGATATGCTTCATGTTTTAAAACTTTTTTTTTTTTTTTTTTTTTTTTTTTTTTCTCCACAACAAACAAGAATTTATCAAGTTTAGGAAGACTTGTGATTGCTCATAGGCTCCTCTTCTTGGTTTTCCATGCCTAATTTGTGAGTGCCATTACTGTGACTTTGCCTACATGTATAATAATTGTGTTTACAAGATAAATGGATAAAAACAAATGTGTCATCCTGTGCAATGCTTTTTCTGTTTAAGGAAGGTCCTTCTGATCTCCACCCTCCTCTGTGTAGTCACTGTTCGTGTGGCCTTTTCATCATGTTTAATTTTAATTTAGGGCATTCCAGCAGAAGCTCAGTCAAGTATTTCTCGAGCTGGAGAGCATCATTTCCTGTAGGAGCCCCTGCCATGTGCAGACACAGAGCTAAACTGAGAACTGAGTTAAGTGACAGATTCACATTTCAGTCTTCAATGTAACATAAACTCAGAGTTAAAGGCTTCATGCACACATTCCTTTAGCGATCCGTAGGAATGAGATGTTAAGATTTGCAGTGTCATGTCTTTTAGATAATTGTAAATAATTTATACTTTCCAGGATGAGTTCACTCTTGATTTATATTCATATAGTTCTCTCAATACTATCCAGAGTCTTGAAGAATTTTTTTTACTTTTAAAGCTGTCACCATCTGAAGTCATATAGTCAATTGAGAAACCTTTACTGTGTTTATATTATCATTGTAAAAATGAAGCAAATGTGAAGCCTGAGGATATAGAAACAGTAAAGTTAATAAGGGTTCCAAGTATATCTGTGTTTTTGTTTTTTTTTAATCTCACTGCTTGTTTGAACAGTTTTGAGGTTGGAGTCTGTGCTAATGTGTCTGCTGTGGATGAAACCCACAGCAAAGAAGGCTGCACCTAGTGATTCCTTCCTCATGGTGTAGCTGACCTCATGTGCAGACTGCTTAACCTGTGAGTTACTCTGTCCTGTTCAGGAATCTGTCTGGGATGAACCACCTTGCTCCAGTCCTCCAAGAGAAACCAGTGTACTTCAGCCCACAGCCCTGACACATTCTTGCACTGTTCCTTGGCAGAACACTGGTGCCGTGCTGTTGCAGTGCTAATAGAGCAGGCTGCAAAGCAGTCTTTTCATCTCTGTGGGATCCTTTTCTGGCAACTTACAGGAGGGACAAGCTGCAGCCCACAGATCTGCTCTAATGAGCATGATGAAGCAGTTTGCTGCAGGGAGGTCAGCTATTTCAACAAGTCATACTGGGTAAAAACCCTGTGCTACCCAGATGAAGTCAACACTTACTGAAGCAGCCAGCTGGAAGAGGCACAGTAAAGGTCAAAAATACCTGTTCTGAAGGAAAGAACTGCTGCACTTTCCCGTCCTTCCTGTGCACTGTGTTATGAGAGGCCTCTTAGAGTTCAAGAGCAGCACAGACTTGTGAGCAGAATCTGGGTTCATTGCCCATCAGGCTCAGAGATTATGTGGATAATGGGTCCTTCATGCCTGGTCTTTCAGAGCATGGTAATTGGTAATGTCCTGACACCAAGGAAGGAGCCATACTTATCTTTATATACTGTCAACCTGTTTGTGAGAATACAACAAATTTGTGAAGCCCATCTTTCCAAGTCCTTACAGAGATTTCTTGAGGTCTGGACATACCTTTGGCGCAGCCCAGAAGCAAGTTTTCCAACTCCATTTCCACCTTCATTCCTACACCATTTTTTTTCCCTAAATGTTCCAGAAACTCCACTCCTCATCTGTCCTGTGAGAGTAGGAGTTAAGGGAAGATGGACATGCACCAGCAATGTGCCCTCACGGCCCAGAAAGCAAACCGTACATTGGGCAGCATGCAAAGCCCAGGTGGAGAGGTGATCCTGCCCGTCTACTCTATGCCGTTGAAGCCTCCCTTGGAGGACTGTATCCAGATGTGGAATTCTCAGTATAAGAGAGACATAGACCTGTTAGAGCAGATCTAGAGGAGGGCCACAGAAATGATCCCAGGGATGGAAAGCTTCTGTCCCTACAAGGACAGACTGAGTGAGCTGGGGCTGTTAAGCCTGGAGAAGGGAAGGCTCCAGGGAGAAATGAGAGCAGTCTTTCAGTATCTGAAAGGGGACAATAAGAGAGAAGGGGACAGACTCTTTGGCAGGGTCTGTGATGATAGGACAAGGGAAAATGGTTTCAAACTAAAAGAGGGGAGACTTAGAGTGGATATAATGAGGAAGTTTTTTTACAATAAAGCTAGTGAGGCAATGAAACAGGTTGCCCAGAGAGGTGGTGGATGCTGTCTCTGAAGACATTCAAGATTAGGCTGTACGGAGCTTTGAGCAGCCTGATGGAGCTGTGGGTGGTCCTATTCATTGCAGGAGAGTTGGACTAGATGACCTTTAAGAGTCCCTTCCTTCTCAGACAATTCTGTGATTCTATGAAATAATTTTACTTGGGATTTTTTGTTTGGCTTGGAGTTTTTCTTCTCGGCCACATCTCAAGATCATTCATTAACACAGTCAGTTCCCATGTTGCATCAAGCCCCCAGGAGGAGAAGCTCTCACAGCTTCTTCCTGCTTCTGAAAGAAACAAATAACATTTCTCATGAGAAATGATGTCACTGACAGAATGAAGGAGGACAGAGGACAAATACCACAAAACTCATCTGTCCTAGGTCGCTGCACACACATCTGAGAAAGAGAGGCAGCTCCAGCCGAATCCGTCTCCAAAAAGAGGGATCTGTTGCCACCATTGCCAAGCAGTTCCTTCTCCAGATGTGCCAGACTTCTGATCCAGCCTCATATTTTGAGTTACTCTAGAGAAAGAAGCAAAACAAATGCCACCAGCATTAGTAGACAAAAAAAAAAACACCATTTAACTCTGGCTGTGGGAGATATGTAGGGCAGCCAGCCACACCCATGTGCACAGTAATCACAAACTTCATGCAAACTGCAATGGGGGGTGTGGGCTTTGCCCTGGAATCTCAGAACCATAGAATCATAGAATCACAAGGTTGGAAAGGACCTACAAGATCATTTAGTCCAACCATCTTCCCACTACCATTGCTACCACAACCCACTAAACCATATCTCATAGCTCCTCATCCAGAAGCCTCTTGAAAACAGCCAGGGATGGTGACTTCACCACTCCCTGGGCAGCCATTCCAGTGCCTGACCACCCTCTGAGAGAAAAAGTTTTTCCTTATGTCTAATCTAAATCTTCTCTGGTACAGCTTGTGGCCATTTCCTTTGGTCCTGTTTGTTGCCTGGGAGAAGAGGCCAAACTCCTCCTCATCACAGCCTCCCTTCAGGAAGCAGCAGAGGAATATGGAAGCAGAAGGCAGGGATGGGTAGATCAGGCTTAAAAAAACATCTATTAATTCACAGGCTACTTAGGCAGCAAGCTGCCCATTCAGAGTCACCACCCAAGGCAGCTGCCTGCTTTTCTTTTATCATAAAACTAAAACAGCCTTGCATTGCCCTGTGTGCCATTAGTTGGATGGTATGACTCATGCCCCGCTGCAGTTGCGTTGGTATCTTAGGATGGACCACAACATTTCAGTATTGCTTCATTTGCAACTCAGTTGATAAGTTTCTCTTTTGATTTTTTTCCTCAACGCTTAGTAAAATACCAAACCAAGCAACAGCTATAGTTATTTTCTTTGATTTTTAATGCTTCTTGCATCAGTCTTAATTTCCTATGCCAAAGATGACTTAAAATGATTCTTCAAATGTGTTTACATAAAAAGGACCAATTAAAATCAAATTGTTAGCTTCTGTTTAAATGTTCAATTAAAAAGTGAAATAAATGCTTTATGTATTTACAACTCTTGTCTTCAAATATAAACTTTCTTCATTTTTGTTTTTGCAGCTCTTTCTCCCTTTTAGATATGTAGATGTAATTACGCCAATTTTCTTTTTAGAGATGAATACACAAGCACAGTTAGAACTTCCCCAGTATGTTTTGTGGTCTGAAACATGTAATACTTAATCTCAATACCAATAACCACCATGTCATATCTTATAATTGTGCCATAAATCACAGACTGACACATTTAATGTGTAATTTAAGCTGTTTTGCAATATTTTTAGGTTTTTGAAATCTACCAGTGGTGGAAAATGCATACTTTTTAACTGTGTATAAACATGGTTGAGGAAAAAAAGTCTTTGGTTACACTTTGTAGTGTCTCGAAAGAGACCACAAGATGCTGACAGACAGCAATGCAAGTGTAGATCCTGGGATACCTGAGCTGCCCCTGGGACCGCAGTGAGAGCACACTGCCTGAGCAGATGATGCAGTCCAGCAAAAAAAAAAAAAAAACAACAAAAAAAAAGACATGTGACAGCCCTGCAGGATGAGCATTATATCTTGTTAGTGATTTGAGCCCTGTTCATGTAGCAACATGAACATGCAGCAACATGTGTTCAAATCTTTTCAGAGGGCCTATGTTTGTGAGAGACTAAGTGGATAGGAGTGGAGAGAGCAGTGAAAGCTGGAGGAGCAACTGCCAACACACACAGCATCTCCCAGTACCTGTTACAGGTGCTTCCACAGCTGCTGATAGATAAATGACTCCTGTAAAGCTGGGTGGATTTCTCACCCAAAGCCTGTTTCTGATTGCAGCAAGAGTGTTTTATCATTCATTCTGTTTTTGCTGTGAATACTTTAAGTGTTATTTTAGCCCCTCCTGTGCAGACAAAAGTTTTTTTTATGGTGTCTGGGACACTTTCCTATGGGGTTCAAAACGCCTGACCAATAACTGAAATGCAGATAAGGTCTTATATCTCGTAATTAATGCTTCCCCCTGGACTGCCACTGCAGGCTTCCTGATATGCTCTGAAATAATCAGGAATGCCTCTTTGCTGAGCTTCTTCCTATGTAGGATGCAGCAGTTTAGCACAGTGACTAAAGCCTCATTTGCACTACCAGAATTTTTAATTGAATTTGCCAAATCTCTCCATGTATTCACACTAATTTCTTCTTCACACTGCTTTCTTCTAATCAAAACCTGAATTTATGTTAGTCAGGTTGTATCACCTCCCTAAATGACACAAGTTTGTATTTTGGGTGCTCCTGTGTGGAGCCAGGGGTTGGACTCGTTCCTTTGGATCCCTTCCAGCTTAGGATATTCTATGATTCTGTGATTATATGACATAACATTTACAGAGGATGCACAGAAATTTCATGCATGTTCAATGTCTTCTCATGTAATTATACTTTAGGTCCCCTCACACTACTCCATAAATATTGTCAGACTTGCCTCACCATTTGATACATTCTTTATCTTCAAGTAGGCTTTTGCTTACTAAAGAAGTGATTTGAGCCCTGTTCATGATCGATCCATCTTGAACAAGAACTTACATGGAATGGAACTGCTGTCTTTTTAGACATTTGCTTGTGTGCAAGCAAATCAACATATACAAACTTAAATGGACTGTGTGGCCTTTAGCAGTTAACACCACTAATTTAGGAAGGAGAGAACGATGTATGGTGGATCTGGTGCACTGACTTCTAGCAACCTTTACCAGAATATGGACAGGAACTTCCAAGATTTGCTGTGGGGAGACTGAAAAAAAAAAAAAAAAAAAAAAGAAAAAAAAAAAGCAGAAACAAGGATGTTGTAACTTGCTTGAGATTAATTGCAGTTGTCGCTAGTTGTGCAAGTATGCAAGCAAGAGAAGTACTGTAGACTGGAAATTTCCAGAATTATATGTTTCCTGGTGCAGTCATTTCTCATTGCTTGTGCTGTGTGTTGTTGCTGTGCTGGCAGGCTGCCTGGAGCACTGCCTGTTGCTTCAGTGAGTGCAGGAAATAGGGCTGGGCAAAAGGAGGCCCAGAGAGTGTAATGATAGAGGGGCAGAATTACAGGATCCCAAAAGTTATTGCCGTCTCGCTCCAATTTATAGGAGGGAGATGAGGTTCTTTTAATATCTGTATACCCGGCGTGAGATTAAGAAACAACGGTTCATATGTTGTTCCATCCAGTTTATTACAAATCCTAATCAGGGAGACGGGGAAGGGAAGGGAAGGAGGGCGATAGAAAAGATAGGAAAGAAGCAAGAATTGCGTAAAGCGGGGATACTCACCACCAGGATCCAGCAGCGTCCCGTTGCGTGACGTTTCGAAGGTCCCAGGCAGAAGCAGCGGGGGATGGGAGGGAGGGAAGCAGCAGCGTGGCTGGACTTGGGCAGCAAGCAGGTAGCAGGAGGCAGTCGCGGAGTCAATGCGGGAGGAAGCAGCAGTGCTCAGGCAGCAGGCCCAGAGTTCTTCAGGATGCAAGAATTCCGTAGTGTGAGGAATCTGATGGCAGACACCTCTTCTACTTCCGCAAGCAGGCATCACTTCATGAGGAATCTGTTGTCAGAAACCTAATCCTCATGGTTTTTGATTCCTCTTTTATCCTACTTGTTCTCCTGCCTACTTGACATCCCTGGGTGCTTGAGCAAGAGTCACGTGAGTGCCCCCTGAGATGGCCATCATCCTGAGATAAGTCCACACAAAAGACTGCTTCACAGCTATTAAGCTGCAGCTCATCTCTCCTTGCCCTGGCCTTGTCCATCTGTGTCCCCCAGACAAAGGATTTCACAGCCCTTGCCCGGGATTTGTCCATCAAAGTTCTCCTGAGAAAGGATTTCACAACCTTTGCCCAGGACTTTGCCTGGACTTGTTCATCTGTGTCCCCCAAAGGATTTCTCAACCCTTGCCAGGACTTGTCCATCAAAGTTCTCCAGGCAAAGGATTTCTCAGGACTTGCCTGGACTTGAACAAGTCCACCTGTGTCCCCAGCAAGCTTTGAGATACTGATGTACAGAATAACATCTTACAATCGCTGTGTGGCTGTTAACAGGCTCTAGATCAAGCCGTGCACACCAGGTGAGATTCTGCCTCTAACAAAATTCTCACTTCTTTGCTGCACTCAGAATATCTCTATAGAGGGGGCACTACTCAGGACCTGGTCCTGCAATTACAAGGTGTCTGCAGATCATTGAGAACAGCAGAGACTCTGTAAACAAATACATTGGCACCAGTCTCCCATTTTCTTGTGTTTGTGCAGCTCATGAATGAAGTCCAATCTTAAAAACTGGCCTAGAGGATGGGAAGCCTGGCCTGTGTATAATGTCACTTTTTTAAATGTATTTCTTTAGGACAAAAGGAGCGTATTACTGAGGTCAGATTTGAGTTCATTTGCAAGTATACAGCTTGCAGGTGTGAACAGAGTTTAGCCTAAAATAACTGGAGGCAAAAGGACAAAAAAAAGGGCTTAGAAGTGTGATGTCAGCACAAGATAATGTGCCTCTGGGGCACTGGTTTTCTAAAGCCAAATCAATATAGCTCATTACTGTACCTGTGCACAGTGTCACAAATGGCATTTTGATGAACACATTTTGTCTTTCCATCATGCTTGCTAGTTAAAATTTCTGTGCCCTAATTGCTGAAACATGAGCACTGTGCCAAGGAAGAGGAAAGCAGCAGATTCCCTTTGTCCAGAGCAGGCACTCTGTGCCAAGCTCTCAGTCAGTCATTTACAACCTTCTTCCATTTAAGCCCCTGCAAGTTCTCCTATGGAGGTACAGGACTTTGTATAGATGCCTTTTCCCCTGCAGTGATAACCAATGCTGCTTCCTTTCCTTTTCAGGCTACTGACTGAGAGGTCTACTACTTTCAACTTAGAGATTCCATTTTTAAAATTAGTCTCCCAAGCAATTTAATTCTGTGCATTCACATCTTCACTTCCTCTTTAAAACAAACAAACAAAACAACAACAACAAAAAACAACCAGTCACTTTCTTATTATACCTCAGTTCAGTCCCTAAAAATACCGATGTTACTATTGCAGTGTATTGAATAATTGATACATCAGGGTAGGAAGTGGCCCTTGTGTCTAGATCAGCCAGCAGTGTGTGACAACAAAATGCATTGCAAAGCACACCACAAGTTCTGGCTCCCGTGAATTCACTTTTGTGCCTTGGCATAGGACAAAATCCAGCTGGGCATCTGCACTTCTTTCCCATAAAAGGTGTTTCTAAGTGTTGGGGGACAAAAAAATACTGGAAGCTGGAAGCTGTTGCATATGCCTTACATTGAGACTCAGAGAGTCAATGGCAGAGGATGTAGTCCTACACGCTGGCACTGCACTGTCCTTCCAGAGACTGAGAGGGTTATGAGCCTTTTATGCTCCATTCTGATTGTGGGCTTTAGTGATCAGAGTAATAAATCAGTGTGCTAAGGAGTTATGTTGTGGCACAGTTTTCTCGTATTTTTCATCTGTTCAGCTGTGTTCACAGTTCCCTCTGATGAAGTTGTTAGGGGAAGTGCAAAAGGTCCCAAGTTGTTAGGAAAATTCCCAAATATGATTAGTAGCATCAATGGACCAAGGAGATACTGAAAATTCACTTCAGTCACACTCTTTCTCAAAGGAGAAGAAGGAATATGAGAAACAGAATGGGACTATAAATTATATCTAAGAAGTAAAAGAAAAGATGACTGAAAGAGGACAGATTTGAGTATTTTTTATTTAATATATTATTTTATGGTGGTCAGAGCACTCTGCTCTGCTCAAATCAGTGTTAAACTTCATCCATAGATCCATGCTGTTCTCTGTTTGAGAGCACTCAGGAGTTGGAGGAAGCTTTACAAAAGGATTTGAGGTTGAACTCAAAGACTGAGGCTCCTCTAAGCAAGTTTTAGGTACTGAAGTGCAAAACTGCAATTCTGAAAAGATTTGCTACTTTGTTCTCTAATCCAGGAGGTGCCCTAGCTTTTTCCTCATCTCCATGCTCCCAAACGTAAGGCACTTGAATCAATATATGGTAATGAAATACCACATCTGTCTGTTTACACATGATATGTGAATGTGACTGATAAAGTCCTATTGCACATGTGCCAGCAGTTTATAGCACAGTTAGTCAGAGAAAAGTTGAAAATGAAGAAAAAGGAACATTTCCAGGCAGAGGAGGAAATGGGTGGGACAAGATGAACAAGAGAACAGGCCTAATCTGCCTCCCCCCACTAAAAACATGCATATATAAGTAGTGAAGGAGAGATTTCCCTTGCTCCCTGGCTGTCATTCATTCTCTGCTTTTCCCTGGGGACAACACAGCATCCCTCCAAGATGTGGGCAAAGGTACTGTCTTGTTTCTTTGTGATGTAAGATGAACTTGTCTGTTTAAGTATTTGTATCCTCACTTGTACATTTATCAGCGGCTGTGCATCATGCTGTGGGATACATGGCTCACCTGCTTTAAGTGTCCTGCCCTCCTTGAGGCGGCCTTAATGCTTTTGTGCAGAGCTCACTGAGAACTCAGCTGAAATAATCACAGAATCATTTGAATTGGAGGGGACCCTTAAAGGTCACCCAGTCCAACTCTCCTGAAGCAAACAGGGAAATCTACAGCTCCATCAGGTTGCTGTCCCATCGGGACAGACTCTTCAGCAGGGTCTGTGGCAAGAGACAAGGGGAAATGGTTTCAAACTAAAAGAAGGGAGATTTTCACTGGAGACAAGAAGTTTTTTTTTTATAATAAGGGCACTGGAACAGGTTACCCAGAGAGGTGGATGGATGCCCTGTCCCTGGAGACATTCGAAGTCTGGCTGGATGGGGTTCTGAGCAACTTGATGGAGCTGTAGGAGTCCAACCAGGGGAGTTGGACTAGATGACATTTGAAAGTCCCTTCCAACTCAAACAATTCTTTGATTCTGTGATCTTGCTTTGGAGAAAAGCTAGAACTGTGGCTTATCTGGAGTTCAGTGGAAGCAGGCAAGTGCAAAATAGAACTGCCAAGTCCCATCTCCTCCTGACTCCCAAGCTCAGCAAAACTTGGGATAGGGATTTGCTTCTCGTGGAAGTTAAATCTTGCTGCTTTAAGTGCTAGTGGCTGCGCTGGCCTGAACTGCCACATTCCCGCTGATTTCAGTTGCAATGAAAAGGTGCTATGGAAAGCCAGGTGGCTTTTGTTTGTGTTTCTTTATATGTAATGCATCTATGTGTGTGTGTGTATACACACAGATATATGTATATACATGCATCTTGCAAAGTTACATCACCTGCAGTACTCAGCCTCAGAGACTTACGGAAGGAGCAGAAATAGAGAACAGATGAAGACACCAAAGAAAGTGAAACCAACATATAAATAACAACATAGCATTTCTGGGAATAAAAAAGGGAAGAATTCAGATTTTGCTGATGAAATTCATGTAAGCAGGGACAGGATGACAAAAATGGCCAGCTAACCCTAGACTGAAAGAAAAAAGAAAGAAGGACATTTAATATTTTTTTCTTCTCTCAGACGATTACAGAAAATTTTGCCAATGTGATTCATGGTTTGAATAAAAACCACCTGACAGATCTGGTCATTCAGAGAAGCAAGCGAATGATTCTGGATACCCTTGGAGTAGGACTTCTGGGTACCAGCACCGACACCTGCCAGAAAGTCAAACAGTACAGCAAGGTAAGAGGTTTAGTATTCATAGCACACACTAAGGTTTACCTACGAGAAGCAATGGAAAGGGGAACACTTTGCAACGGCAGTGAAATTCTTTTGGAGATGGAAATAGAGACATAGTGTTCTTCCCATTGGAAACAGGGAAACTATATTGCTGAAGTTACTTCTAACTTTGGATGGGCAAAGGGCTGTGTAACAGACAGTATGCTAAGACTGCCAGACACAAGCAGAACACAGTTGATTATGAATCCCTTCCTTTCACCTATGAGGTTTCATTAAAAGCATCAGCATAGGAAACATTACTTAGCACTGGACTTTCCAGCATGAAGAATGGTTACATGGATGAAAAATTAGTATCAGATTATTTCCAGTCCATAAAACATACTATAAAACTGCTACCTGAGGTACATTGGTCATGTTTCTCCTACAGTCCTGTTCTGTTTAAATTAAAGGAATACTTGACCTCAAGGAGAACCAACATAGGCTCACATCAGTGAGGGGGAGTTTAGCTTTCTGTTTTACTGGTAATACCTGGCTAGCTGGACTCGGGCTACACAACACTCTGTGCCAGTAAGGATCCCTGCACTGATATCCCCATTCCCAATCTGTGCCAGTTAGCCCTTTATTTAATTTCATAAAGAGCTCTTTGTTAGGTAAGAGATCTGCACATCAAAAAGACAGTAACAGTGCCATTTAAAGCATGGGGGTACTAGCATGAGGAGGCAATATTTCATCTACCCACAGTCTACTAAGACATTGAAAAACATACCCTTTACCTGGAGATCTTCCCCAACAAAGTGATGACAACTCTGAGGAAAAGCCTTTAAGTGATGAGGAGGAACACTAATGGCCAGAGGTTTTGTGAAGGTACTGAATGGTTAGGTCCATAGTGTTGGCCTGCCCCCGGACAGGAGTCAGCAGGAAACAGACTTTCATTTCACACTTTCCAATAGAATCATATTTTTCCTATGAAAGGAAATAGTTGAGTCTCAAGTGTGCAGGATTTGATCTCAGCGCACATTTATCCTTGGGTTCAGTATTCTGAATTAATTGATGTCAATTTGTTCCAGATCTACAGCTCAGATATATCCAGCACCATCTGGGGCCACTTGGATTTCCGACTGCCTCCTCTGTATGCAGCTTTTGTAAATGGAGTGGCTGTAAGGGATGCTCTTTTACTTGCTCTTAAATCACACTAATTGATTGCATTTTCACTCCAAAGAACAGAATGCTCCTAAAAACTTAGTTTACTTTTTTTCTTGTTCCTGAAGCCTCCTACAAAACTTCATTACTCTGTTCTCCTGATGTGCTTCAACTTTCTTCCTAATTTAGATCAGGCTGCATCCCTTTAATCTGAGACTTGGAACTGATTTTATAGGTCAGAACTCTACAGCTTCTTGCAGGATGGCTACAGCAACTGCATAACAAAGAGATTTCACCAGATTTTGCTCCAGCTGCCTAAGTACAGTTGCAGGAAAACACAGATACAGACATACACATATATACATACAGCTGGCATCAGGATTCTTCAAGGCAGGAATTGTGTTTTCCTCTGCTTATCCAGAAGGCATTCCTCAGCAGCCTGACGCAGAGTTTGACAGAAGTGTGTATGCCCAGCGTTACAGGACAAGATGTGAGCACAAGGGAGCACTGACACCTTTCCAGCTCGCACATTTCTGAAAGAAGACATGAGTGAATAGACGTGAAAGTTCAGATTTTGAGGTGTTATTAAAAATACTGTTCCTGATGCTCTCTATTCCTTGGGACTTCTGGTAATGCCTAAAGCTGGGCTCTGGGTATGGGAAAGAGAAGGCATCACCACATACTCATAAGGGCTAGGCAGCTCTTTCCAGTTTTAAGACCATAGCTTTCTTGGAGTTAGGCTGCTATAGTTTTAAGGGTGTAAGCCCCAATACCAGCATCAGTTGTAGAGCAGGGGAAGTCATTTAATCGTGTTTATATACTGTTATGAAGGAAGTGAAAACTCACCACTGGACCCAGAACTGCTGCTTTTATTGTACCATGTAATTAAAATAGCAAAAAGCACATTGTAGAAAAGAAGAATCATTGCCAAACTGATTTTAGACCAGTGCAAGTAGAATTACAATTACACACCATTGAGACAAGCTTTATATTATATTTACATGTCATGTTGAGTGATAATGGGAGCAAAGGACTTAGAAGAAAGATCTTTTAAGTTTTGCTTTCTTAGATTTTAAGGAAATCTAGTTCTTCAGCCTTTTTTACACCAGCTACAGTACTTTCATTTGACTGAACCAATCTTGCCCAGTCAGAGTTTAATTCTGATGACAAATCATGGCTTCTCTTTTTGTTAGGTGCACTCCATGGATTTTGATGACACATGGCATCCTGCCACGCACCCATCTGGGGCTGTGCTCCCTGCTGTGATGGCTCTCTCTGAGGCCTTTCCTCAGAATAAAAAAATCTCAGGTCTTGACCTGCTCTTAGCTTTCAATGTGGGAATTGAGGTGCAAGGCAGGTTGTTACGCTTTTCCAGTGAAGCCAGGAATATTCCCAGAAGGTATGTAAAAATGCTTCTAGTTGTAAGTTGAGTGGAAATGTTAATATTTTTAATTAAATGCCAGTTAAAATACAAATGGCATGGGTAATTGTATTTTCTGTTCTTTGTCCAGCAATTTAGGAAAACTTCAAGTGAATCTTAAATATAAATATGTTTACTTGATTCCACGCTGCTTGGTGAATAGATTTCTTTTTAAGAGCATCTATCAGTTTACAAGAAAGTGTTGATGATCTCTCTATTAATTAGATCAACAGCAAAAGGGCAACACTGAACAGCACAGGTCTCAAGGACAACCACACCTTCCTTGCTCGTTCTCAGCATAATGGAGTCAACTGTACTGAGTTCAGAGCAGAGCCAGAGGACACAGGGTGTGTTTAGGAAATACTCATGAGGCACAGGATGGACTAGATGTCTTCTTGCTGTCTTGTGCATTTTCCTTCTACTGGTTTTGCAAAACTAGTTCAGAATAACAAAACGTGCATCCTCCAGTATGTATAATTTTCAGACAATTAAAAACTGTAACACTTTTGCCATTATTGTGTTCTGTATGCCTTGAATGATAAGCAATTCTAGTTTTTCAGCTGCTTTCTGGGGAGGCCTCTGTTAAAACAGGTGTTATTCCAGTTTAACTTGTTCCTGGAGAAAAGCAAAAATTTCTTCCATTAGGACTGCGGGTAAAATTTGAATGCATGTTTCTTACAGTCCAATCCACAGCAGTAAAGGGAAATTGAAGCTTGAATGTGTAATGAATCCGAGTAACTTTCTGAACTATAGTAATGAAGAGATTTTGTTTTTTCAGGTTTCACCCACCAACAGTAGTTGGTCCAATGGGGAGTGCAGCAGCTTGTGCAAAACTGCTAGCTCTTAACCAAATGAAATGTAAAAACTCCTTGGCTATTGCTGCTTCCTATGCAGGTGCCCCACTAGCTAACGCAGCAACTCAAACGAAGCCCGTGCACATTGGCAATGCTGCCAAGCATGGACTGGAAGCGGCTTGCTTAGCATCACAGGGTCTTCAAGGAAACAATCAGATCTTGGACATTGAGTCAGGGATAGGTGCCTTTTATACAGATTACAACCCACAGACTCTGCCAACTTTGCAGTCATATCCCTGGCTGTTGGACCAGCAAGATGTGGCCATCAAACGCTTTCCTGCTCATCTTGGAACACACTGGGTGGCTGATGCAGCATCTTCTGTAAGGAGGAAGCTTGTTGAAAACAGTGACATATTGCTTATCCTTGATAAAATTGAGAAAGTTATTGTAAAAGTCCCAGAGGTCAAATATGTGAACAGACCCAGCCCTAATTCAGAACATGAAGCTCGACACTCCTTTCAGTTTGTTGCCTGCTCTGCTTTGCTGGATGGCAGCATGTCCATCCAGTCCTTTGCCAGTGAGAACATTCACCGGCCAGCCTTACAGGAGCTCCTCTGCAAAACACAGCTAGAGCACCCTTCTGATAACAAACCCAGCTTTGAGAGTCTTTATTGCGAAGTGACTGTTGTGCTTCGGGATGGCAACGCGATTAGTGACCGCTGCAACACGTTCTATGGACACTGGAGGAAACCTCTGACAGAGCAAGATGTGGAGAAAAAATTTCGGTCCAACGCTTCTCAAGTCCTTCCTGCAGAAGCCATACAAGGCATTATAGAGACTGTGTACAATCTGGAAAAAGTAGAGGACTGTTCTGTATTAAACATGTTTTTGTCAGGACAGTCAGCTAGAGTACTTCCAGAGAAGCTGCACTTCAAACATTCCAACTCATAAAGCAAACAAAATTCAGGAAAAGGCCTTATTTAATGACCAAAGCACCAAGTAAATAATTTAGAGATAGCATGCATAGTTCAGTCAGAAGAGTTGAAGATTACTTAGCTATCTTTATATGCTTATACTGCTAAAGGTAGAGCAACGCCAGCATGCTGCACAAAAAAAATTCCTTCCTCTTTTGACAAAAATGTCTGCATGTTCTGCTTCTACTTAATCACTTCATGAAGGAAATTTAAATTCGTGGAAATGCTGCTGTGAGAAACAAGACTATGAAGACAGAAAATAGAAGCCTTTACATATGTATTGCTGCACATTTAGTTATACAGCCTTCTTAAAGAGGCCACCTGCTATGCCACAGCTTTGGTGTGTGCGCTAAAAGAAATAGCACTTAACACTCCAAAAGACATCAGGCTTCGCTGTGGAGACTGGCATTCTGGAACTAGGGTGCAGAGCAAGAGGGACAACTCCTAGACCTAAAAGCATTATTTCCCAGCCCTATCTTCTTGGTGCTTCATAGTATGCATTTATTACTGCCATGTTCCCATTTCAATTACAAGGCGTTGGCTTAGGAAGAAATTCAGCCCCATTTTCCCCAGCAGCAGCCAAAGAGATGACCAGACACTTTTAAGGAAAATATGTGCTTAGGCTGCAGGGTATTTATATTTGGTAGGCAAGAAACATTTTAAGATGAGCTAGGTTATGATAGTCCTATATTTTTTGATTGCATAAATGCAAGTGTAGTCCTGTTAAAAGACATATCACACTTGTGAATGGTTGAAAGTTAAAAACTGTTTCTGCCATGCTGAGTTTGCTGTTTATGACAGTGCTCTCTTTCTGGCTTTCATAACCATTCCACACTGATCAGGATGCCATGTTCAGATTACTACAGACATTGCAAAGCATGGGCTACAGTACATTAGTTACTATAGACTGAGAGCTGTATGTATCAGAACACTTAATGTGCTGAGACCACCAAGTGTCCTTAGGAACTGTCACCTTAACTTGACAGCCAAAACCATTCCCTCAAGTCTTGCCATTTGTCTTAAAATGTATAAAATGTATGTACAAAAACTAAAATCACAAAATAAAACTGATTTTAGTAAATGAACCCTGAATTATTTATTATTTTTTTAATTATTTTCCACATGGAAAGTATTAATCTGTACTTAAGCCTCTGTCTCTTGGTTTATAAAGTTAAGTTGTTTTTTGATAAACTTTTTTCTTTATCCCTTTTGATTAGAAAGCAAAACTGAATTACTGATCTATGCTGAAGATATACATTGAGACACACAGACAATTCTAGCCATGTAATTATACCTGGGTAGTGTCAAATATAAGTTACTGACAATGAGTGTTGTGATTAAACCCCACTGGATGAGGAAAGTGCCTATATTACCTTATCACAACTGAATACATTTGGATCCATAAAAATAAAATAATACACACAGTTCCAATGCATGTTTTCTATGTTAAAGGTAAAACAAATGGGACAAATTTGGCAGTAACTATTACATAAATTTCAGGTTAAGAAAGAAAAACACCAAAAACACCAAGAACTGTGAAGTTTGATAGCTGCATTATTTTATTAATACCATCAAAAGTAGCTAAATGTTTATGCTTTGCTAAATTGATTTCCTCACAGAAGTCTGTATGCTCCCCATCAGGCAAGTTTCAGGACTTCCTCTACCATTGTTCCAATTCCATCAAAGATCTCATGCAGAGGAGCCTTGCACATGAATGCACAGGTAGTAACTATTTTATTGGCTTTATCCACGTGGGATTCACTGACATCTTTGCAAATGTGCTTACATCCAAGCTCTGCTATTGCAGATGCAGTTTCACTATCGGGATATCTGTAAATGAAAAAGATTGTAATAACCATAAAAAGAGATGATACAGCCATAAAATTGTGCCAATAACTTGAATGAGAAAACAAGAATATTTAAGTGGTTTAGCAGCTGACCATGACAAGGGACTAAAACAGTCTTCCACTGTCAGATCATCTCTATTTCCCACAGCAACTGATCCAGTATCTTTGAAAACAGCTCAGATGCAGTCATGGCATGCCACAAGGTACAAGTCTGTTTAACAGTCTTTCAGTGTGTTTATAATGTGATATCAAGTGCAGCAATAACTGATCCACAATATTTTTCTGAGATGCTAGATGAACTTGCAGACACATTAGACCTTATCCAGCACATCCATATAAAGTCTTCCACTGAAATTCTGCAGTGAGTTTGATTTTCTGGAGACAAGGCAGGAACAGGGGGATAAAACTTATCACTGCTGATAAAATTTCTGAGTGGAATTTCTTATCAGGAGTTAACAGTCTTTAAAGCAACACCAACTTCTGCCATGGTTCTCACTTGTTTCTCCTGAACTGCCACCAGAAAAACTTCGCTGAAAATCCCCAAGCAGACAAAATCCCACAGGCACAGTTTAAGTGTCCACTCCAATTATCAAGTTTTTGAATGCCACCTGAACAGATATCTATCCTTCGCTGGCACATTTGTAAAGTGAACCACAGTTGGAGGTATTCAAGCGAGATACAGAATTTACTTTCTTAATATGAACTACAATGAATGCAGCAAAAGGTAGAGGAGGAAGAAAAAAGATCCCTCTGTTCAGCCAATTTCAGAACTGACAAACAATACTTGCAGCAACTCATTAGCACCCACACTGAACAGTAAAGTCTGTGCAGGAACCTGAGCTTTCGGTGGCTCGCGGACAGATGGTTTAAGCAAAAGGTAGGTTTCTATTTTTCATATTTTCTTTAATTGTAGTGTGGATGTTGCTATCATAGGGAAAAATCACAAACCAACGTGTTTCTGAATTCAGGGATGAACAGTCCCAACTCTGTAGAGCATAAGAAGTGCACCGGCCATAAGAGGTGCATCAACAAGTGCTACACAAGTGGAAGTTTAAAATGAGCAAAATGCCACTAAGAAATAATTATTTAAGAGCTACTGATTCCAGAAGTCTCAGCCCTTTGCACAGAAGACTGGCCACTTTATAATCTTAATTATTCCCACACAAATTAATTCCATCCGTTTCCTTCTTACCTTCCATCTACGTTTTTATCTTGGCCGACTGTGACCTCACAACCAGGAAAGGCTTTAGCTGCCAGGACAGGTGATATACAGCACAACCCGATGGGCTTTTTAGCACTGTGGAAAGCTTGGAGAGTGGAGTTCACATGTTCGTTGATGGTGCAGTTCTTGCCATCTACAGCCCAGGAACACAGGTTCTTTGCCACACCAAATCCACCTCGAAACAAACACACACACTGAAATGCAAGGCACTGCTAAAAGCCATTAAATTCAACATGAGAAAGATTTCTCCTTTTTTGTAATGTTATCAAAGCATACATAGGACCTTCAAATTCCCATACTAAAAGATCTTAGGTAGATGAAACATAAACTTCTAAAATTATAAACCCATTATCTGCACAAAGTACATTCACCATGTACTTTCCACAGGCCAAAAGGCTTCGTATTTCTGCAGTGAGAAACAGAGAAACCACACATCACAGATTTGTTTGCTAGACACTGGAAAAACTGGACCATCCGATGTGCACTCCTCAATGACCAAGAGAGGGATCAGAGGAAAGACTAACAGTGGTTTATTGTTGGCAAGCACAGAATGCAGAATTAATGCAAACAGTGGTTTGCCCTTCCACAGTAATTTAAGTCACAAGGTTTAGCTCAGTACTTAGACAGTTAGAGGAGACCTTCCCATCTCTAGAATTCTCTCAGAAGTTAAAGAAAATGAAACGAAGTTAACACAATAAGAACAAAACAGATCATTCATAAAAAAGTATTTTTAATGTGTGATATTCTGAAACATGACACTTGTGAACAGTAATTTCCTATTAAAAATAATGTTTCTGCAAGTTAGTTATAACAAACCATTACTTGCATTTAGCCATCATTCAGCTATACAGACTACATTTTGCAGCACGAACTTGCCAAACTGCAGCACAATTTGCTAGATATAGAGCTATCAGAATAATCACACAAAGGGTAGCCATCTATTATATTTGGTTCCTTATGCATAACACGCACAGCATCAACTTTCCTACAGCAAACAAACACAGTTTTCCAGGAAAATTTCAAGGGACAACAGGAAGAAGTTTTGCATTTTTAATATTTGTGTTTTCCCTCCATCCCCTTGTCCTCTTCTGAATGTTATCTGGAATCTCTGAAGTGAGGTTTTAATTTTCAAACTTAATAGCGCTTATCTGCATGTAACAGTTATTGCTGCAACTCCCCAACTCCCCTGAGCCTAGGTTATAATAGAGCATGAAATTAATGTGGAAAATATTTGCTAGCCTCTACTCCCAGTTCTCTACTCCTGATGTCACTGATCCATTATAGCTGGGGAAGTGACTCCCCAGCGCTATCCACGCACTCCCTCTGCCGGCCTCACTACAGAAGGCAGTGTAACTATTTCAGTCAGAACTTAGGCACAGTGAAGACAACATTTAAGAAAGTTATGGATATTCTGGAAAGTGATTTTGAGCAAGTCAGTTTCCTCATTATGCTTTAGTTTCTTCATTCCTTACTTCCCACCTCAAGTTCTCATCTACAAGAAAGTACCAAAGGCTTGACAATTTTTCAGAAATAAGGAACAGTGTGATGTATGAAGAACACTGTGGCATTTTAAATTAATGAACTGTATCACAGAATCATAGAATATCCTGAGTTGGAAAAGACCCATAAAGATCTCCAAGTCCAAGTCCATCTCCAAGATGACATATCAGCCCATGAGCGCTTGCTAACATACTTTCTCGTCGTCAAAAATACAAAGACAAAACCCACATAACTCTCACATTCAAGAGTATGATTTATTAAATTATGAATTTAATTAACTCTTTGCTAAGTTCTCTGCAATTGAAGAATCACAAATTATTTTATTATAAATGCACTTACCGGGGAAAATAACTGCATCAAATTCACCTACTTTCAGCTCAGCCAAATCCTGGATGTTTCCCCTTGCCAGCCTGGCACTTTCAACTAACACATTTCTCTTCTCATCTGCTGGGCTTCCTTTTAGATGATTGACAACATCCCTTTGCTCAATATTGGGGGCAAATATCTTCACCTGGAATAAAGAAATGAAGCAATTCTGTGTGTGTAAACAGAGACAACAAATGTCACTTAATGAAACGATCTTTTATTTCAAAAGCCCCTTATCATGATGCATGGATTTCACAGGGTGGATCTGTTTCATTAAGTAAATGAAGACTCAAATGATGATCCACTCAGTGTGGATAAACCAAGTGATTCTCCCCATCCTATTCCTAAAGCTTTTTATAGGGAGTGCACTCTTTGGCCAACACTACTCATTTTGGTGGGGATTGCAAGTAACCTAAAGGACTAAGAGAGCACTGTGATTGGTACCACAAGCCTGGATGCACAGCTACAGGAAGGCTGCTCCTAGCATTTATGGGTTCAGAGTGCTAAGGCAGATGTAAAAAGAAAAAAGTTTAGTAGACAAAGATGCAAACTTTACAAGCATTTCTAACACAGACATGACTCACTTTCCTAGTAGCGGGAAGTAAAAAACAAAACATGGCAGCACACACGTTGGTTAGGTACCAAACTGAAAAACCTCATTAAAAACACAGAGGAAGGCTGACATAGGAGCTGTTCTCACATGTGTTTTGATACTTGCTTTGCAGACATCTCAGTGCTGATAATATTGTCAATTCAAGGGAGGTGAAGTCGTGCTGAACACGGGGCTTTGTGTGCTTGCAACGGCAGACTGTGGCTGTGGCTCTTTGCAGACAGCCACGTCTTGCTGTCACGAGAAGCCACAGACAGGTCCACTGCGCCGCGCTACATCCTGCTCCCAACTTCTCACAGGGCTCTGAGCTACCTAACAAGTACCAAAAGCCATTCGAAAGCCGAACCCCGACCTGGGGGCGGCTACGGACTACCCCCACCCCCATGCCCACGTCTCCCCGCCAAGGAGGGCCCGCCCCGGGCACCGCTCGCCCGCAGCCGCCTGAGGCGGAAAGGGCCGCGCCGGGGGGCGGCCGCGCTCCTACCTCAGCGCCGCCGCGGCTGAGGTGCACCAGCGTGGCCGAGGCCTCATGAATCTCGC